ATATATTTTTCAAATGTTGGGAAACAGAATGGGAGGAATCTGATGAGAAAGAAGTAAAATGTATAGACTGGTAGTGATGTTTACATAAAAACAAATACTTACATAGGCAGATACTTTGAGCTAAATTCCCCTCCCATTCATGTCGGAGGTACCATTTAAGGCACTTTTTGGGTTGAAAACATTAGCTGGTGACATTACCACTGCAGAGGTGGGTTGCTCCCGGTTCGGACCGGTAGTGGTAATTGGGTGTGGGTCGACGAACCGGTAGTGATGGCTGGCTGACCACGCCCCCGAACTGCCTCACAATGCCTCGTCTTCGCCACATGCATCCACACAACTGCCTCCTAGTGCCTACACACAGGTAAGCAGCATGGGCTCTTCAAGGAGCCCTGAGGCTTCTCAACCACTGCCTCCTAAGTGGGATTGAGCCTCGCCGCATCCTCGATGCACTGAGGCAGGAGGCGGCAGTTTTGTTTGCTGCCTGCGAGCTCCGGGGGGAGGGGCAGCAGCCAAGTGAGCATGCCAGGATCTTCTGGATGCTTTTAATCTGCAGTTTACTCATGAGCAAGTTTACTCATGAGCATGGGGCTCGGCAGCTGGCAGATTACTGGCTTGCTCGCTTGGCTGCCTCTAATCAGTTTACTCATGAGCAAGTTTAATCATGAGCAGGGTTCTCGGTAGCCTGCAGATTGCTGGCTTGCTCGCTCAGCTGCTGCCCCCACCTTCTGGAGCTCACAGGCAGTGAACAAAATCACACACTCTTCAGACCCTCCAGATCTCCTGCGTTCAACTCAGCGCGACTGGTTACTGCTTTCTTTGGCCTTTTTCAAAAAAGTTTTACAGCATATTTTATTTCCCATCTCCAATCTGAAACATAAATTTTCCAAGTCACGCCCACAAAATAAGCCACACCCACAGAACCGGTAGTAAAAATGTTTGCATTTTTTACTACCAACCCTGCACCGTTGTCTGTGCCTGTGGAGGCTCTTGTCCCCGTCAAGGAGGTAGAGTTAAGGGATGGCAGCTCATCCCGCCATACAGCAGCACTCTGATCTTGAACGTGGGCTTGCTAACCTCCAACCCAGCTTCCTAACCATGTGAGCCAGAGTGCTCCTGAGAGCTAAACTGATTAAATATTTTCCTTCCTTATGAGAATTCACCACTCCTTTTTTTAAAAGCACTGAAGATTTACTTAATCTGGTAGTAAAACATCTTCAGGCAAAAAAGAACTGAGCTTAGAGAGTACCAAGGAGTCCACTGTTGAAATGATTGGCTACATTTCCGTATCATGTGATGAGTTGCAATTCAAGTATCCTGTCAGAAACCATTTCATGAGAATCAAGGAATTTATCTTCTTGAAAAAAAATACAAGCTCTAAATAAAGTGTAGATCAAAGTGTAGCATAATAATATATACAACAATTTATTAATAGTAAGCGTTATTTAGGAATTTCAAAAACCTATTAGTTCGATAGTGTTCTTTAAATGCTTACCGTGAAAGATTTTACGGCTTAGTGAAAAGGGAATTCTCACATTTAAGTACTAAATTTTTCCCTGGATAAATTTCATTTTGAGCATGATGAATTTTATATCACCAGTCTTCTTAGTGTTGAACAATTATTTGCCTTGCTTACTTTGTAATTATTTTTCTTTTTAGGTATATGTGGAATTGATGAGTTTGATAAAATGGGGAGCCAGCACCAAGCTTTGCTGGAAGCTATGGAACAGCAAAGTATTAGTCTTGCTAAGGCTGGCATTGTTTGCAGCTTGCCAGCAAGGACATCAATTATAGCTGCAGCAAATCCAGTTGGAGGTCACTATAACAAAGCCAAAACCGTATCTGAGAATTTAAAGTAAGTACTATATTTTCAAACTGTCTGCTTTATAGTTTACAAGACAAACAAAAAAGTAAGGAATTTTTAATTACATTGCTTTTGTGTGAATTTTGTGTAAATTCTGAAGCTGTATTCAGTTCTTTGAGGTAGAACTGTAGTACTGTACTGGATTTGTTTTTTCCATGTAGGATGGGAAGTGCTTTGTTATCCCGATTTGACTTGGTATTCATACTGTTGGATGTTCCAAATGAAGATCATGATCATTTGCTTTCTGAACATGTGATGGCGATGAGAAATGGAAAACAGACTGGATGCAGCAGTGCTACTGTGACTCGTGAGCATTCCCAGAATTCAAATATATCGGTCCTTGAAGTTCTTTCAGACAAACCACTAGCAGAGAGGTTAAAGGTAAAATATTTGTTCATGTTTTGACTTACTATATCTTATCATCAGGGAATGCTGATGATGTCTGGAAAAAAAATGATATATTTAGTATATTTGAGATAAATTGTTTTGAGATGAGTTGTTTTGTACATTTTATGTTTGTGATGTTGAGTATAGTTATTAGAGGAATAGGATTCTCCTGTTTTGCTACAGCATAGTTTGCAAACTTAACATTATAGCATTAGAGGGGACTGAATTCTTTATTTTATCTTTTCTGTTCTGGGAGCTGCTGGCCTCATAGGGTAATCTAGAAAGTGTAAAAAAAAAAATGTTTGACATCTGTGGTTAGACAGAAAATCAGAGTTCTGTAATATATGAAAATAATATGTGGAAATTAGCAATATTCAATACATATTTTTTCTGATTAGGATTTAATTCAGTGGTGAGATTCATTTTTTTTTACTACTCGTTCTGTGGGCGTGGCTTGGTGGGCGTGGCTTGGTGGACATGGCAGCGAAAGGATACTGTAAAATCCCCATTCCCTCTCCACTCCAGGGGAAGGTTATTGCAAAATCCCCATTTCCTCCCGATCAGCTGGGACTCAGGAGGCAGAGAATAGATGAGGGCGGGGCCTATCAGAGGTGGNCTCCTCTTCCTCCTCCTCCTTGTTTCTCCTCCTTCTCCTTCTCACGCTAAGACGCATGCGTGAACTGCACGCGTGCACGAGGACACCGCTGCCCCCGTTCCAACCGAACTGGTTGTAACGGGATTAGCAACCCACCACTGGTTTAGCTCCAGGTTGACGTTTCATTACACAAACCAGGTAACAACCTAAGTTACATCTTAAAGCAGAAAAATGATCATGATCTTTCTATTGATATTTTAACAGGAGCATCAAGAAATAAAAATGATAAATGTGTCTTCCTATTATACATTGAAGCAAACTCCATCAGTAATACAAAAGGCCAGAAAATCAAGAATTATGAACATGGATTAAACCAGCAAGGATGCATGGAGTTTTCTCTTAAAGATCTTTATGCAGTCCAAGAAATCCAAGCTGAAGAGAATCTGTTCAAGCTTATTGTCAGGTATGTCATTTATTGCAAGTTAGGGGACTAACAACAATGGGGTATCTGTCTTACCATATCAATCAGATATATAAGATATATAAATCAGCAAAACAAGAAAATGTAGGTGTTTTAAACGTGATAATAGAACTATTGAGAGCCAGCATGGTGCAGGTGTTAAGCTGTTTGATTGGTGTTGGGGAACTGCCAACACAGGTTCACTTATGGCTTTGTAAGTGACTTGGAGCCAATCATTCTCTGTTAATTCCACCTTTCTCACAGGTAGCGTTGTGGTTGAAAAAAATAGGAGGGAAAGTTATGTCTGTCTCTCCCCCCCCCCCCCCACTTTTGAAAGGCAAGATATGAATCTGACAACATTTTACCGCCCTGTTGAACGGATAGAAATGCAGTAAAAAGCTTACTATGAGTTCTTACAGCATCATAGGAAATGGCAGATAATGCCACCCTCTGTGCTGCTGGCAAAATATGGCACTCTTGAAAAGCTTCAGATGTAGGAGATGATGTCAGTTATACCATTTTTGACAGCACAAACACCATTGTAGACAAAGCATGAGGCTTAAAAAAGTTACAATGTGTCAACTGACAATCTGTCTTTTAAATATTATTTCCAGTCTACAACTGATTTAAAACTAGGCTACAATGATTTATTTCTGTTGCTTATTTGTTATCTAAAAGGATAGTCTAAGAGTACAGTACAAGAATTCTTTTTGTATAACAAGTAAACATTTATACAAGTGTGGAAATCCTATCCAATCTAAAAGATAATGCCTTAGACACCTAAACCTAATTACATTTAACTTGAATTGATTTCAGTGGCATAATAATAATTTATTAGATTTAGCGTGGCTATCAACTCCAAAAGTGTCTGGGTGGCTTTAATGTAGAATTAAAACAGTTAAAAACATTGCAACAAAATGTTATTGCTACTATTATGATCAGTTGCACAGCCAGCCAGATGTTTAGACTGGATTTGGCATTGGTATCCACCTACTGAATCCTTCCTAAGGATCAGGGATAGGCAGATGTTGATACTTGATGGTATTAAAGGTATCATCACAAGATGCAAGCTGTTCCAAGTAGAGCTGTGTTTTACAATTGACTGCTAGTGATTTTGCAGTGTTAATTGTGTTCACATGTTTTGGGATTGCACCCAAGGTGCCTATTACTATTTGGTACATATTTGCTTTCTATTGCCACAGTTGTTTCACTTCTATCTGCAGGTCAAAGAGTAACTCATATCTAGTAAATATTATTTGTTCTGATTAGAATTTAAATTTTCTGAGTTTCTCTTTGCCCCCACAATACATAATTTAGAAAACTTATTTTTCAAAGTATAGGAAAGCCAGATGCTATGCTACCTTGGGTGTTCCTTCTCTAGTATAGTAGTAATCTGCCTATGTGCTTTTAGAAGGCTGTAGAATTTGATAGGAGAGAAACGGGTTGGTGTAGTGGTTAAGGTGCTGGCCTAGAAACCGGGAGATTATGAGTTCTAGTCCTGCCTTGGGCATGAAAACCAGCTGGGTGACTTTGGGCCAATCACTATTTCTCAGCCCTACCCACCTCGCAGGATTATTGCTTGGGGGGAAAATAGAACTGAATATTGATATGTTTGCCCCCTTGAGTAGTATATGCAAAAGGATAATCCCTCTTGCAATAGGTAATCTAGTATGCATCCATACTTAATTAGTATTGCACAATGCACATGTATAATTCAGATGAATGGTGCTTCATTTGCATTCCTTTTATATTGGGCTTGCGAATGAATAGATTTGAGATACGTAATCTTAAATATGTTTTTCCATTATATTTAACCTGGTAATACAATTTGTTTTCTTCCTAGCTCTCTTTGTCCTACTATTTATGGTCATGAGGTAAGTATAGTCTAATAGAAATATTCAATTATTTGTATCCCAAATTCTTAGTAGAAAATAAAATATATTGCCCTAGTTTATAAACTATATTTTAATGGTCTGCAAAGAAAATGTGAATGAGGTTATTGTTTCTGGTGTTTCTGTTACTATAATCCCTCTATTAGCATTATTAATATTATTCAATATATTATATCAGCATCAAAATGAGTTTTTTATTTACATAATCTGATTTATGCTTGCTTTCAAGACCTTAATAAAACTATATGGAAGGGTTCTGACAATATGCCTAATAGCTACCTATAAAAATGCACGGTTATTTTATTAAAATGATCTGTGAATTTAAAAGTGCATAATGGTTACAAAGACTTGTATGGTAAAATAACATCTTTACTGTTCTGGCACTATTGTGCCGTAAAAGATTTTGTAACAATTTTTGGAGGACTTTCTTTAATGCTGCACTTTACAAGATTGAAAGAAATGAAACAAAGTTTTTTTAAAAAATTGTCTGAACCTGGTATGTTACTATTTCATTTTTATTACTTCTGAAGAGTTAGAAGCTTCTTAAAAATATTGATAGAGAATAACTGGATCATGTAGTACTTAGATTGAATTGTCCCTTGCAAATATTTTATGGCTTGCTTTCTCGTGTCACAGGTGGTAAAAGCTGGTTTAGTGTTGGCATTATTTGGAGGATGCCAAAAATATATGGATGATAAAAACAGGATTCCTATTCGAGGGGACCCACATCTTCTCATGGTTGGAGATCCAGGACTGGGAAAAAGTCAGATGTTGCAGGTTGTTGCAGATGTTGCAGATGTTCATTTGTTTATACATGCACGGAGTATTATTTCAAAATAATTACATATATTCTTCCTTGGGCATTTTATTCTTTTTAGTATAATTGGGTATGTTATCAATATGGGTATTGGTCTATAATATGGAAAGCTAGCTTTTTCAATTTGTTTCTTCAGGCTGTGTGCAATATTGCACCTCGGGGAGTATATGTCTGTGGCAATGCCACTACTACATCTGGCCTGACTGTAACTCTGTCTCGAGACAGTTCCTCTGGAGATTTTGCACTGGAAGCGGGTGCTCTTGTACTTGGAGATCAAGGTAGTGTGCTCAAGTGTATTCATCCGAACAAGAAAACTATGTAAACCTTATAGATGGGCACATTTATGATGATATAAACTTTCCTT